GGGCTGATTCTTCCACTTGCTGCCTCCTCAACCAGTTCACAAACTAAGCCAAGTGGGAGTGGTCTTATATTATCCTTTTTGAATTACCTTGTATTTTAGAATCTACCTATCCATTCATCTGCCCACCTGCCCTCCTCTTATGCATATTTGCTATATTTAAAGGCACAGAGTACTATTAAATGTTCCTGAGTAACAAAATGTGCTCTGATCTCCCAGCCACGCTGTGTGGCTCTTCCTTCTTTTGTTTCTCCCTTCAGTGCTTAGGAGAAGTGCTCACTCCAAGGTTCTGGGTGAAACCAACTTCTTAATAGGATACACTATAGACAAGAATGCAGGATTAGGTGGTAGGTCAGATGCCAGCAAAAAAAAAAAAAGTGGCAAATTAGAAATGACACTAGAAAGGAAAGAATAGAAAAAAGGAGAAAAGAAAATATTGAACAAAGAAAAGAAAGAATTAAGGAGAAGATACAGAACTAAAAGGGAGAGGAGATAATAATATGGGGCCTTGTGTGAGCCACAGCCACAGTCGCATCTGCAAGCACCAGAAGTATTTGGGAGGTCAAGGAAATGCTGGTGGCTTGCATCATCACAGGATCAACTTTGATAACTATCACCCAGGTTACTTTGGGAAAGCTGGTATGCGGCATTACCACTTAAAGAGGAACCAGAGCTTCTGCCCCACTGTGAACCTTGATAAACTGTGGACCTTGGTCCGGGAGCAGTCACAGGTAAATGCTGCCAAAAGCAAGACTGGAGCTGCTCCTATCGTTGATGTGGTGCTATTGGGCCACTACAAATTTCTGGGGAAGGGATAGCTCCGAAAGCAGGCTGTCATCACAATGGCCAAATTCTTCAGCATAAGGGCTGAGGAGAAGAATAAGGGTGTTGAGGGTCCTGTGTCCTGGTAGCTTGAAGCCACACAGAGAGAAATTCATTAAATGCTCACAAGTGTTTTGCAAAAAATATATATACATATATAGCCTGTCCAAAAAAAGTCCACCCATTGTTAATATAATGACAACAGTTTGTACAACATCAATATTATCTGGCAGCTAAAGAGAGTGGACAGGAATGCAAATGCATGAATAATGACAACTTCACTGTACTAGTCAGTGGGGGCAGTAGATGCTGGTGAGTGAGCATGTGTACTGTGTGGCCATTGCATTCAAAATGACAGCAACTAAAGCAACGAATCTGCATCAAATTTTGCATTAAACTTGAACATCCCTCCGTGGAAACTATACAGATGATTCAGAAGGCCACAGCTATGGGCAACTGGTGATTGGCAGCTTCATCACGACAATGCGCCCACTCATGCCTCACATCTTGTACAGAATTTTTTGGTGAACTATCAAGTCACCCAGGTAACTCAGCCACCCTACAGTCTAGATTTGGCACCCTGCAACTTCTAGCTTTTCCCAAAACTAAAATCACCTTTGAAAGGAAAGAGATCTTAGACCACCAATTAGATTCAGGAAAATACAAAGGGGCAGCTGATGACAAATGGGAGAACTGTGTGATGTGCCAAAGTGCCTACTTTGAAGGGGACTGAGGCATCATTGTCCTATGTACAATGTATCTTGTATTTTCTTCAATAAATGTCTCTATTTTTCATAGTACATGGCTGGATACCTTCTGGACAGACCTCATATATCCTCAACTGAGTATGAGTCAGCACTTCAAGGCTGGGACTAAAATAGGCAACCTAATTCAGGGTTCTATAAACCACAGAGAACTGGGAAGCTGATAATTTGCCTCATCCTGGCCAGGGCTCAGTCTGTTAGTGTGGTCTATGATAGATTGAAGAGGAAACTGAGAGGAGGTTAAGAGGATGAGAAGCAACTTTTTTTTGTTTGTTTGTTTTAGTTAAGTTTTAAATTTTAATTGGTTGATAAAGAGCTGCCACACTTTCTTCCCACCTCATGCTGCTATTCTTGAAATTAATTTGCAAAAGGAAGAAGAGAGCAAAAATTTTATTTAACAAAATTTAAACAAGTCGGGGGAAAATGCTTATGGTTAGAAAATAAAACATCTCATCTTCAGCCATACCACCCTGAACACGCTTGATCTTGTCTAATCTCAGAAGCTAAGCAGGGTTGGGCCTGGTTAGTACTTGGATGCGAGAAAACAAAACATCTTTCAGAGACAATTTTTCTTTGTACACCATATTTTAAAACACAGGTTTGTTTTCCATTTAGGAACTGTGAAAAACACCTATTTAAAGTGTTTTTGGAAGGATGCCCCATTTTTGCAATGTATGCTCTTCCAGATTCTTCTGGGCCACAGATGTTGAGAGGTGTCCCATGTTCTCATTTCCTGTGTCGATGATGCCTGGCAGAGCCTCTCATTTTGCAGCTTTCTAACATCGTGTCAAGAATTAGTAAAGGGGCAAGAATTCTTGCCCGATTCGTTTCTACAATGCAGTCATTTAACATCTCTCATCCAAAATGATATATACTGTATCCAAATTAAACATCATATCTAATTCACTCACATGGCTGAAGTACTCATCTAAAACTTCCACAAATTTATGGATAAATTCATAAAACGCCATCTCATTCTTGGTGTTGTTAACTCCAACCACACTGAAGAGAGCTGCATACTGCTGATATATCAGCTTAAAATCCTTGTATTCAATGAAAGAGCACTCTGTGGCTCAAGGTGGCATTGGTCCTGGCCATGGTTCTTTCTAGAATCGTCTTCCCACTTTCCCCCAGATTGTTCCCCAAACCCCACTAGCTGCATGGTGAGGGCTTCCTTGGGACAGTCATTTGGAGAAGGAACTTTCCACAACAGTCACTGAGAACCAGATGAGAGGGACCAAGGTAGTTAACGTTATAGCACGAGAAACCAGCTAAGACAGATCTTGGAATCTGTAGGCTGCTCTGTTGGCAGAAGCCTCTAGAACAGCGTGTACACTATGAGAAGGTGAGCTGAAATCAAGATGCCTGTATTCCCAATCTCAGTTTCACAAATAAGGAATGGGAAACATTGGGCAAGCCACCAGGCCATTCTGTGACACAATTTCCCTATCTAGTTAACTTCTAGATTTTTGTGCTCTAATATTGCATGATTTGATGACCATCAATTTCAGTTCCCAAGAGATTAGCAATGAAGAGACTTTCTTAAGAGGCAGTGGCTGGGCTGCATTGCTGAGGGTGCTATGGATTCCTGAGAGTGACACAGGTATTGGCCTCCTTCTGTTACCTGTAATCACCCCTATCTTCTCTCAGTTGTCCCCATAGTACCACCATTCGCTAGGCTTCTCCCCACGTCTCCCTATCCAACATCAAGTCCTTCTATTTTCTTTATTCTGCCCCTTCTAGACCACCTCACAACTAACATCCAGAATAAACCTATTGATATATTACCCCCCAAAATTGTATCTATCTGTATACATGAGGAACATATATAATGTAACATAATCATCTGATTACCAACTTTTCTCCACCTCTTTGAGGTTAGAGAGTAATTAATGAATTAATTAATTAACTTTTGATTTTAATCCTCACCCAAGGATATGTTTATTGGTTTTAGAGTGAGAGGAAGGAGCCGAGACAAAGAGAGAGAGAGTGACACCAATGTGGGAGAGAAACATTGATTCAGTTGCCTCTCTATATGTGTGCCCTGACCAGGGATGAAACGGGAAGCCTAGGTATGTGCCCTGATCGGGATGGAACCTGCAACCCTCTGGTGTAGGGGACGATGTTCCAACCGACTGAGCCACCTGACCACGGCAGAGGTCACATATTTTTAATTCATCTGTGGCTTCCCAACACCCTGCAGTGCCTGTCACACGGTTGATCCTGAGTGTAGTACATCTATTTGGGGGAATGACGTGGAAAACGATAGTAGACTAGGGCCTCTAATTTTGTCTCAGGCCTCCAGCTTCCTCCACTCGGTCGGAAGGACATTTTGACCCTCTTCTCGTCCTTAAGGGAATTTTACCCGCACTGTAAACTCCTTGAGTAAATAGTTCCTCCAACACTAGTGTCCTAATTTCCGGCCATCTGCTTAAACAGGTCAGAGCGTAACTTCCTGCTAGAGACCTTCTACCTAGAAAAGCAACAGCTGTAACAGCAGCGGTCCCACCCCCACTTTCCCAACCCGTGCCTGTCTTCACACTGTGCCTTCAGAGTCGAGTCCATTGTACTAGTTTATCAAGCTGGAATGACTTGCTCTCCATGCCCAGCACAGGCTTCCATAGTCTCCTCCTCCTCCTCCTCCTCAGTCTTTTTTCAGTAAGACCCTCTCCTTTCCCAGGACCCCCATTTCTATCTCCACCTCAGCTGTTCTTTCCTTTCAAATTCAGGTGTGGACTCTGTCCTACCAGCTCTAGGCTTGGAGCCAACCTCTCTGACAGAGGCTTTCCATCTTTAAAAACTAACCTGAAGTTTACTTGGCAACCCAGTGTACCTACCCACATAAGTGAAAAGTGTTTTCCCATACAGTAAGTACTCTTGCTGAGTGAAAATCACAATGTTTTCTACCCCATGGTTTCCGTTATTTTCGAGCGCGGATCGTTGTAGCTAATGACCTTTTGGGAATGAATGGGTACTGGCCCACATCTGAAAACTCTGTTCATGGTGTTCCTATACCTCAGGGCTGGAGGACTCTAAAGTCGGCGTTGAGTGAACACCACCTCCGGGCGAGCCCAAGTTTCCGGCCTCCACTGAACAGCCCCGGCCTCTGCCCTGGGGGCCGCACCCAGAGCTGGACCGCGGTGGGCCACAGGGAGGGCTTCGGGGGTCAGTGCTGGCTGGGCTCAAGCGGGCCCAAGTGAACCTCGCGGTGGGTCTCGGGGTGGCCGCCGTATGGGTGTGGGCTCGCCGCAGTGGGTTTCCGGGAGGCCTCGGGGTGACCCTGAGGTAGCAACAGGGCGACGTGCCCAGTCTTGCAGGGCCAGCTGCCGCGGGGAAGTCAGAGGCCCGCCCACTAGTGCAGGATGCGAGGCATGCTGGGAACCGCACTTCCTCCTCCTCCGCAGCCTGCAGAAAACCACAGGGCTCCCGCCAGGGCCGGCGCCCCCTGGGAACCGAGAGGATGGCTGAGGGCAAGGCTGGCGGTGCTGCCGGCCTCTTCGCCAAGCAGATGCAGAAGAAGTTCAGCAGGGCCCAGGAGAAGGTAAGCGCGGGCCTCGCTTCCTGCCGAGGCTGGACGTGGCGAGAGCGGTGTACAGGGTGCCGAGGGGCCCTGGAGGACTGGGCTGAAGAGAAGGGTGTCCGGCTTCCTCCGGGAAACGGGAGTGGTCCAAGAAAACAGGCAGACTTGAGAGAGAGGGAGAACATCTCCCAGTTTTGGGCGAGTATGAGGGAAACTGAGGAGACACCAGTCTCTCTCAGGAGCCTTAACGCTCCGACTGGTCCAGGAAAGATGAAGGAACGGAACTAACGTTGGCGATTGCTATGTAGCAGTTTTTGTCCTAGCAACCCAGCAAGGATGGTATTTTAGAGATGATGACATTGAGGGTTCCAAGGAGGTAATTCCCCCAAAATCATGAGACAGAGATGGCCGGCTGTGCTGCCCGTTGAGTGTTACCGGTTGATGGGGGCTGGAGTCCAAGGGCTGCAGTTATTCTGCATGATTCTCAGTTCCCAGCCCTGCCTGGCCTCGGGGTGTTGTTTCAGCTGATGTAAGAGTGGCCCATATCTGCTTCCTGTAGTGTCCCTCTGGCATTGGGGAGGACTGTCCCAAGGTGATGAAGGTGCTTTTCTGTTTCAATTGTGCCCTTGGTTAGCTCTTGGTGGTCCTATTCTAGCACTGGCCCCTAGGTAGGCTGTCCCTCCGTAACTTGCCTACCTGTGTAATTTATGTGGACACTTCTCTGCACAGTCGATGGCATTCTTGTTTCTACCTACCCAGAGTATTTTCTTTGCTTCTAAGGTCAACTTCTGCTCTCCCTCCGTCAACGCTCTGGTAGATGAGATGGTATGGGAAGATGAATAAGCCAGGAGAAAAGGGAGGAGAGATAAGAAGGACCTGACATAGAACTGTGGTTTGCTAAGGATTCATGGTCTTAGAAGCATTTGGATGAATACCACACGCTTAAGAATTGAAACATTTGTGTCATCTTCTAAAAAGCAGAGCCCTGGCTTGGGTCCTGGAAGGATTAAAGGCAATCAGCTCTCCCAAGTGGGATTATCAACAGAGAATTGATGGAATGTAGATATAGTTCTTATCTTTAAGTGGCTCACAGTGGAAGAGGGGGGGCGGGGAAATGAAGCTGGGTCGTGTGAAAGAGCAGAGAAAAAGGGAAAGATTTCGTGTGGCTAGCCTTTGTTACTTCTCCTTACCCTAATGTCAACTTGATCATGGTTTCAACCTCTCAAAAGGCTGTCTTGTTACAGATCTGATACATGGGGATCAGAGTCTATGTGAAGGTCTAGTTAGAAGCAGTGTGGAGAAACCAGAGGTACTAGAGAAGAGGGGAAAGCTAGCTACACTATAGGTTAGAAAAAACAAAAAGAAAACCCAAAAGACAAAAACTTAGGGGGAATTATTATTTTTAAAAGACACAGAAATCGATTTTACCACACTCTTGCTCCTTCTGTCCTCATCCAGCCTAGCATCAACACTATGCCCTTGCTTTGGGATTTCTCTCCTATTTGAAGCATGGACTCCTAAGCCGTAGGTAAATACTGTCCTTGCTCTGGGCTTCAGATTCTGCATTTGTAAAATGAGGGAGTTGATGTTCGGTGATTTGGAAACTCAACATGATAAGGACACAAAAGTGAGAAGGGGAGAGGGCTCACTGAGCCACAGAGTCAAATACTTCCCAAACGGAGAACCAGCTGCCCTGGTACACCCTGTTTTTCCTGGTCTGAACCCTGAAAAGGCAGAATGAGGAACAAACTCAGATCTTCCCTGGGAAATTCCCAGGTTGCTGCAGAAAACAAGAAGATACTCTGAACCCAGACGTAGGCACAATGGCAGGCAGAAGTTGAGCTAGCACTCTAAAGATACTGGATGCTGCAGGATGGAGTGGGGACAGCCTGGACTGTGGGGAGGATCTCAGCTCAGCCTGCCAGGGTCCTTGAGTGTTGGGAAGTTATTTTTATTTTTTTGCTGTTGAATGGGAAGTTACTGAAGGCAAGATAAAGACAAAGTTACAGTCAAAAGAAAGGACTCCCTGGGAAACTGCAGTTTTTCTATAAGCAGTTGGCTGTAATATTCTGAGCAGTATGTAATAACTAACGTGTCAAGTAGTCAAATGTGTCACATATCAAGCGCCCACAAAGAAAGGCATGATCTTTCCCTTTATGGAGTCAACACACTCATGATATGATCTCACTTCATCTTTTTAACCCTTAAGTATGTTATTGGTATTCCAATTTTAGAAATGAGGAAACAAGGGTCAAAATGGATTGGCATGTGGCAGAATTATATCTGGAGCCCATGTGTCTTGCCTTTGGATGCCAAATTCAGACTTGCTCTCTTGAAAGGGGTCCTGATGAACCAAGTCTGATATCTGTGCCTGCCCACTTCCTTCTGATCTCATCTCAGGAGCAAAACTGGCATGGGAACACCTTTTGCTCAGGCCCTCTCCTTTGAAAAGCTAGATGTGAAGGTCTGGTGACTGTTAAACACAATGGAGATGAAGCATTCTTGTTTTATTTTCCAGTTCCCACCCAAGCTTGACAAGAGATAATTCATACTGGCTTTACTTTGTTTTTACAGCCTAATACATCTTCATATTTTCACCAACTATTTGTGATATCTCTGTGGCAAACCTTTCAGATTTCTAATCCCCCAAGAAAAAGCATTTTTTAGCACTCCATTGTTGGTCTATTCCTCTGTTGACTTTTACTTAACTTGAGTCCCAGATGATTCAATCAACAATATTTAGGGAAAAACTCCTGTTCTGGATAGCTGGCTGGACCCAGGAGGGAATTTGGAGAGGAGTAAGAGGCATTCTTGCCTGCCAGAAGTTAACAATCTAGTTAAAAAACAAAACAAAACAAAGCAAAACACCCTGACCCAGTGTGGTTCGGTTGGGTGGGTATTGTCCCACAAAGCAAGATGTTGCCAGTTCAATTCACAGGCAGCACTGTGAAAGCAACTTACATGTATAATATCATTTAATTTTACCAACAACCCTAGGAGACATTAGTATCTTTGTGGAGGAAAGGGAGTTCTGTAAACTGAGGCTCACTCATTTAAGTGATTCGCCCAAAGACTTATAGCCAGTAAGTGGCCGAGATGGGGACATTCATATATCTGTCTGTCTGTCTCACTCCAGAGTCCTTGATCTTAACCATTATGGAGAGAGCTCCAGAAGTGAGGGACACTCTCCCCAGGGTTGGGACACATGCCTTGGTTGTGGGTTTGGTCCCCCGTCCTGGCATATATGGCCCTGGGTGGGTATAGTCCCGTTTGCACCGTATCAGGGTGTATATGAGAGGTGAGAGACAACCCTTCTGTGTTTCTATCTCCTATCTCACATAGATGTTCCTCTCCCTTTTTCTCCCTCTCTTCCCCATCTCTAAAAATAAATAAATAAAGTCTTTTAAAAAAAAAAAGGTAAAATAAGTGACCTGAGAGCTGCACCACCGTGGGAATTCAGAGGAACGAAAAGTTGGGGGGAATTGAGGTTATGTAGTGGAGTCCATAGTGGTTCCTCAGGCAAGATGTGAGAGAGCATTCGGCCAGCATGAGCAAGGCAAGGCATGTGGAAACCCTTTTATGCAGAGGAGTGAGAAATCCTTTTAGGCAAAGAGTGGTGGGAGAAAAGGCCGGAAAGTATATAAGGGCCATATTAAGGAGATCTTACTTCAGCATATATCCTGAAAATAAGGATTCCTTACATAACTACGGTATCATTATAATACCTAAGAAAAAAATTTTAACAAAATTTCATAATATCTAATGTGCAGGCCCTATTGAAATTACCCCAACTGAGAGAATTAAGGTATAATAAATGATTATGGGGAAGGGTCATGGTGAGGAACTATATCCACCAAACACGTCTGCAGTGAATTTTTTTTTAAGTTTTACCCTCCCTCCTCAACCTACACAGAAGTTAAAATAAATCAATGAACACTGGAATATTCTTTACCTACTTCACTAAGTGTTAACACTGCCACATTTACTTTGTCTCTTGTCCCTGCTATTTCTTCCTAAATATCTATATTCTAACTTCTAAGCTGCTAAGCCAGGCAAATTTGAGCATAATTCTCAGTGCAGGACTTCAGGGATTGGTACTAGGTGGGCCTTCAATAGAAAGTGATCCAAAGGTAGAATTTATTAATTTTTTCAACAAACATCTGTGGAGCATCTGTACCTCCTCTTCCCTCAAGGAACCCTAGTTAAAAAAGAACATTTACAACACAGTGTATGTGCCATGACACCTGGCCCTGTTGCTATGGCAGCAAAAAACATTGGGCCCAGGGCACTGGGTTATATTTTCAGGATGCTAATATTCATTTTTTCAGTTTCAGAATTGAAGGTGGTTGTGCTTCCTCAGCACACACACTCCCATACCTTCCAACCCTTTTTTTGCCTTGAGCCTTTCGGGCATTGGGAATATAGGTCTGCTTTGGGGTATGCCACTTTGACTCTAGACTCACTTGTCTCCTCAGCCCTTTCAGCCCCCTTTGCCTAAGAAGAACCACGCCCCAAACAAAGGAAGGGAGGGTTAACAGGAAGGAAGGAAGAGCTCTGTTAGCCACCAAACAAGGTGGTTTTGCAACTTTCTTGGTAGAAAATAGTGCTTTGTTGGGGGGCGGGGGGGGGGGCGGAGAAGGTGGAGCCAAGGAAACTAGCCAACACTGCACACCCAGGGCTTGGTGTTAAGAAAAGTGAAGTTAGAGACAAAGACAAACACATATGGTCAAGCTGCAAAGGAAATAAAGACAGGTATATATAGGGGAGGAAGTGGAACTAGACATAGTAATAATGAATTTGTATTGAGTACTCATCTTAAGGCAGCACTGTGAAAACAACTTACATGTATAATATCATTTAATTTTACCAACAACCCCGGGAGACACTATTATCTTTATGGAGGAAAGGGAGTTCTGTAAACTGAGGCTCACGCATTTAAGTGATTCGCCCAAAGACTTATAGCCAGTAAGTGGCCGAGATGGGGACATTCATATATCTGTCTGTCTGACTCCAGAGTCCTTGATCTTAACCATTATGGAGAGAGCTCCAGAAGTGAGGGACACTCTCCCCAGGGTTAAGAATAGAGTCTTTCTCACTCCCATGACCTGCGCAGTCTTTAATGTGATTCAAAGCCTAGTCACTGCTCTGTAGCGTCCTTATACACATTCCCCATAACACATATAAATCAGCCATGCTGAACTATCTCATGAAGCTGCTATAAATTTGCATACTCCTGCCCTGGCTGGTGTGGCTCAGTGGATTAAGTGCTGGCCTGCAAAGCAAAGGGTCACTAGTTCAATTCCCAGTCAGGGCAAATGCCTGGGTTGCGGGCCAGGTCCACAGGAGGTGGCATGTGAGAAGCAACCACATATTGATGTTTCTGTCCCTCTCTTTCTCCCTCCCTTCCCTGCTGTCTAAAAATTAAAAAAAAAAAAAAAAAAATTGCATCCTCCTGTGACTTTTTTGATGTTGTCTTTGCTTAGAAACCTCTTTCCACCCTCACCCTTTATACTCTATTCTAATCTAGCAAAATCTTAATTCCAGGCCCAGCTCATTGTTCCTCCCCTGTATCAGTCTTACTGTCCTTCTTATTATAAGTATTAAGTATCCATTTGCTGGATACTGAGAAATCTGGATGAGGAAGGCAAGTACTCAATCCTTAAGGAGCTCACAATTTAGAAGAAGACATAGACAGACAAATACAAATAATAAAACAGTATCAGAAGTGCATATAAAGTACAGAAGTTGTAAGTGCTTAGGAAGAAGTGTCATATGAAGCCAACAGATAAGAGACTTGACTATATATAACCTTATGGACCTTTCTGATTTATGTCCCCAGGTACTGCAGAAGTTGGGGAAAACTGTGGAAACCAAAGATGAACGGTTTGAACAAAGTGCCAACAACTTTTATTATCAGCAGGTAATCTGGAGGGTGGGGAAGGGAAGCTTGGAGGAAGAAAGGAGACGTGAGGGCTGAGGAGCAGAGGAGCAGCACATTCTTCAAACCTGCAAGCATTCCTACTAACCCTCCTTCCCCCAGGGGTGAGGGCCACCACGTGCCCTGCTGCTTATCCTTCCTCTGGAACCAGAGAAACTTACCTTTCCTGTTCCTGCTGACCCTAGGTTCTGGGGGAACAGACAAGCATTCTTTTCTCTTATTGGTTCCCCCAGGGTACAATGGCATCATCAGTCCCTTAGACAAAATCACTTCCCAGGGTGCCTCTCGCCCACCCTAGGGCTTCTGTCTCAGTAGCCCCATGTTTTCCTTGTGGCCTCTTTGTCCACTACATCGATCTAGTCCACCTAAGCCTTTTATTCTAAAATAATACCTCCATCTTTTCACTAGAGGTGAATGATCGGATGGTCATTTTTACCAATGCCTCCTATTCTCACTGTTCCTTCTGTCTTCACTGGATATTATGGGTAATCTTATGTAGAAAACTTACATTAAGAAGTGGATAACAGAGGTTTAACTTGCATGGGATATTTGAATTTCCATCTCCATGTGCCAGGCATCCTGTTTGGTGCTTTACACACATTGTAGCAAATTCTTACAACAGTCTTGGAGATTGTGATCTCCACTTTATAAAAGAAGGGAGTTTATTAACTTAAATGAATATCCACTTGCATTGCAGTTCTGACACTGACTACTCACAGTTAGATCAAATTCACAGATTAAGAGCATAGTCCCCAACTACACTGCCTTATTTCAGATACCGGGCACAAACTCTATAGAGTTCTCAGGCCACCTGCATTTCTGACCACCTGGCTATGAATTTGGGCTCAGTTTCCATAATTGCCTAAAATGACTCACAGAACTCAGGAAAGGGTCCTACTTACCACTGCAGTTTTATCATAAAGGATAAGAGTCAAGACCAGCCAAATGAAGATCTATATGGTAAGGTGTGGGAGGGTCCCAAAGCTTGTGTGTCTGTCCACAAGACATGTCACCCTCCCAGCACAGTGATCTAGTATAACCAACCAAGAAAGCTCACCCAGGCTAGAATTCTTACTGTGGTTTCACTGCATAGTGAATCATTGGCCAAGTGATTGAACTTAATCTCTAGTTCGCCTTCTGTCCCCTGGAGGTTGAGCTCATTATCACCTGTCTCAGAGACCTAACCTCTAATCCCATGGCACATCTTTCTAACGTAACCTGCCACCATCCTGAGGTATATGATCTGAGAAGCCCACCATGAATAACAAAAACACTCCTGTCATTTGGGACATCACAAATATCTGGGGCTTGCTTCCCAGGAACCAGAGACAAAAAAAAGCTAAAAATCTTTATCATGCATCAGTTAGTTGAATTATATATGAAGTAATTCTTCAGAATTATATTAAAAGGATGTTAGTTACTATCTAACTCAGTAGTAGATTATATTAGAATCATTTGGAAATATTTTTAAATGCAAGGCCATTGGTAGGAGGGCCTTGGAATCTGTACTTTTAAACTTGTTTTAATGGATAATTTCTTACATACACAAAGATAGAAAAAGTTGTATAACAAATCCTTATGTACCCATCAGTCTGCTTCAATAATTTATCATTTCTTGGGAATCTTGTTCCATCTTTGTCTCCCCCTACTTCCTTCATCCTTAATTATTACGCAGCAAATTCTAGGTATCACATCATTTTATCTATAAAAATTTCATTATAAATCTATAAAGATATGGACTCTTTTAAAATATAATCACAAAACCATTATGGCACCTAAAAATATTTTCCTATAAAACATTTACTCATAAGAAATCAGAAAGTACATCAAGAAAAAAATTAATTTAAAAATAATGATTTTATACCCTTCCATGCTGTAACCACTGTATTTTATATCCTTACAATTACTTTGCTATGTATGGGTGTGATCTCTAAATATATTCACAATAAATAAACAAGGTTTACAGAAGTGAAATTATTCCATTCAGATGGTTTTCTAACTTGCCTTTCACTAAACAGAATAATGCAAATATCTTTTTAGATATTTCATGTTAACTATTCCACTAAAACATGTTTTAGTGCTATCTGAAAACATTAGCAATAATTTTTATTTTATTTTACTTTATTTATTTTTTAGAAAGAGGGTAAGGGAAGGAAGAAGGAGAGGGAGAGAAATATCGACCCATTGTGCCTTGACAGGGAATCGAACCAGCAACCTTTTGGTTCACAGGCCAGTGTTCAATCCACTGAGCTACACCAAGCAGGGCAGCAATAATTTCTTAATATCATAAAATATCCAGTCAATGTTCACACTCCCTTAATTGTGTCATTTTTTTTTACAGTTTATATCAGCAACTAGTTGACATCTCTTAGAGTTAAGGTTAAATCTCTTAATCTGTAGGTTTTTAATCCTTTTTTTGGAGGTTTATTTGTTGATACTAGGTTATTTTCCTGCAGTTTCATGCAGTATAGATTTTGCTGATTGAATCTCTGTGGCATTGTATAACATGTACCCTCTTTCCCCCCCCCCGAAAATTAATAGTTAGATTTAGAAACCTGATGAGATTCACATTTTTGTTTTTATTTCTTTTGGTGGCAAGAATACTTATTATTGCCCTGGCTGGTGTGACTCAGTGGATTGGGTGCCAGCCTGCGAACCAAAGGGTCGCCAGTTCAATTCCCAGTCAGGGCACATGCCTGGGTTGTGGGCCAGGTCCTCAGTAGGGGCATGCAAGAGGCAACCACACATTAATGTTTCTCTCCCTCTCTTTCTCCTTTCCTTGCCCTCTCTCTAAAAAATAAATAAATAAAATCTTTTTTTTTTCTTTTTAAAGAATACTTATTATTACAGGTGTTCTAGTCTTCCATCTGGAGGCACATAATGTCTGGTTATCTCCTTTTTGTGTGATATTAACAGCCATAGGTGATCATTAACTAGGGAATCTGTGTTTTACATTAAGTTTTCTAGGTAATTATGATGTAGCAGCTACTCTGAGAATAGCCTTTGGCAACCACTGATGTGGTCTAACTCCTTTTAGGGGAAATAGGATCTGATTGAGAGGGAAATTATTTCATCAAGATAACGTAGCATAAGAGTTGCAGAGCTAGGATTCAAACTTAAACCCTGTGCTTTTCTCCCTGCACCTCAAGAGGCGAACTCCCTGGGCCTCTTCTCAACTCCAGTTACTGTTCTACTTCCAACGCTAGCATAAAAGGAGCAGAAATCAGTAAGCTGACACCCATTTTAAAAGATTTCCAGCTCTTGGCCCATTCTGACCCTCAGTCCTTTCTTTCCCTCTCTGCCTTATAGGATAGCTCTACACTGGTAGTTGTGTGGGTAGAAAGGGTAAGAGATGGGATCATCAAAAAGAAAAAGGGAATCGGATGGGATAATTCCCTCAGAATTCCCTGTGCGAGCACCAACTAAACGTCACTTGATGGGGGGAAATGTATTTGAGAAATGAAAATGGAGTTAGGTTAGGAACAAGGAAAAACTTTTCTCCTGAGAGAATGATACATCTGTAGCAACTCATGTTTGAACATGCTTGTAAAGTTCATTTAACAAACATTTCTTTAGGTGCCTGGTTTGCAGGCACTGTGTTAGATGCTGGGACTTCAGCATAAATAAGACAACATACCTGCCCTCAAGGCTCTCACAGTTTAAGAAGAAAGACAGTGATAGATAATATTGTCAGGTCTAAGGCTGGAGCTGGGGTGACTAAGACAAACAAGAGGAAAAAGGAGAGGGTCAGAGATTGAAAGTTAAGTATCCCAGAAGCTGGACCAGTTGGCCATGTGCCTTATTCCTTACCCACAATCAACTTGTAGGTAAACTTCTTGTTAGTAAATAAATAAATATGACTCCCAAACTTCCCAGCCTGATTTCAAGGCTTTGTTACCTGCCTAGTTTCCTAATCAAACTTCCATAAGTAATTTTCCTTTAAGAGCTCTAGTTGCTTCCCTCTTTCCCTCTGTCCAAAACATATACGAAGAATTCTTTTCCTCAAGCAGCATTTTAATCTCTTTCTGGTAGTAACAGCTGCTTCCAAATCATTGCCTTTAAAATCATACCTAACTATCGAGCTTCATCTTTCCCTTCTGGATCTCCCGTAGATCAAACACTTCTGGCACTTGCTCAATTTGGTCATGTTCTTTACCTGTTTTGCCAAAGGTCTGGGTTTCTCTTGAGTCTATTTTTCTCCAGCAAGTAGGGAAACCCAGAGCAGGAACCTTCTTCATCCTCACTATCTGACTCTGTTCAGAAAGCTTGCTCTATCTAGCTGAGTGCTTGGGAGAAGCTTCCAGAGTGAGTGGTTCATTAACTAAGGGCTGAAACTATTTGTATAAAGGATGGAAGAGACTAACTCAGACTCTTAATAGTGCTGCCAAGAATTTGACAAAGCTTCAGAAAGCAGAAGTGATACAAAGATTTAGAGCTAGAAATCGCCTTACCCAGCAGTTATAGATGAGGAAACTAAAGTCAAAGGAGTGGAATAACTTGCTAATTGGTGACAGAGACAAGTGTCTGACTCCCAAACAAGTGGGAACTTATGACTGTGAGAGTTTTGTCTATCAGGAAAGAAGAAATGTTCTGGGGTGGCATCCTGGAGACATTTCAGAGAAGCTAGGTCAGGGAAGTAAAACAGGGAGCTGTTTTGCCAGTTCATGTCCCATTGGTACCACTTCATCTCCTCAAAGGGAAGAACAAAAGCATAAAGGAAGAGCTTTGACCAGGAGGCTTGATTCTAAAACACAAAAATGGATTTGAACTTTTGTGAGATGCAGTGCAGGACAGAAGGCATTCACATTTTATGGGCTATGGTATAAGTAGTACCCCCTAGTTTTGAACAGTGTACATACAACCTGCACAATCATACATGGTGGCCTTGATTACTAATCTGGCTTTTCAGGCCATATAATATCAAATGGAATAAAAAAATAAGAATTTTATTTGTAGAACTTATGTAAGATAGTTTAATAGCTCTTGTTCCTCAAATACGTATTTTTGATACTGAATCTTCCTGGTGAAGTAAAAAGTTGAATCTGAGTTGTTTTCTTTCAAAAAAGAAATTGAAATCTTTGTTAATTTCTATAATCCCTAAAACTCTTTCAAAACTCTTTAAAACCTTGGTTATCACATTTTCAAAACTCTCAAACTTATATCTACCTACAATAGTCATGTTTAAAAGATATTATGTACATTTAACATCTTAGACTATTTTTTTTTCTGTTAATGAGAAAGCAAGGAGGAAGTGAGGTGCCCTTTCTAGTAAATGCTGAGTGATTCTAAATTTTTTTTTAACTGACTGAATTTTTCTCCATCATGCTACTGAAGGAACTTTCTCACGGTCAACAGTGACCTCCAGTTATCAAGTCCAGTGACTTTTACTGATTCTTCATGCCTTCTAACCTCTCTGTAGCATCTGACTCTTCCCTGATCATTTCTCTGATGCTGTCTTGATTCTCATTTGCTATGAAAGACTATACAACATCAGTTCTCCCCGCTCTCTGACAGTACCTCAGACTAACTTGAGAATATCTTTGTCTTCATATTCTTTGAGCCCTGGAATTCAGCCCCTAGAAAAGGACTTTAACCTGAAGTATGACCAAAAGTTTGGACTGGCTTAGAGAAGAGCTCTGGAGGCAAGAAGATAGATAAAATACTTAGTCCAGTTTTCTTTATTTGACTGAGTGGACCTTGATTTTTCTGCTGCTAAAATTAAATAATAATGATCTTTTTCTCAAAGATTTCTACAAATAAAATTTTTAAGTTATTGGATAGAATTTACTAAGTTTTCAGGTTTTCTCCTATAATTTTTTTATACTTCTGATGTGCTCAATAGCCTATCTGGTAATGAACACAAGCAAATAAAACAAATGAACATGTTCACAAGTATTTTATGATGTGTTGCATAATGAACCTTAGCTCCAACACTTCATTGCCTGAACTGTAGGAGGATCACTGTTCAAACCCATAGGTCTGACCCTTGAAGTTGGCTGCCCTATCAAGTCCAGTCCCACACTCCTGAAGTCAGGTTCTCAAGTGTCAGTGGCCTGACCTCAAACTTCCTTCTCACCCAACTACTAGAACTGGTCATTCACACAGAGGAAAGAGACTGGAAGGGAAAGGGGCTTTAAATGACACCCTGCAGAACAATTGAGGAAGCCTGTGAAAAAGACTTGGTACCTGGTGTCTATAGAAGATGGGGGCAGTTTACCCAGAGAGGAAGGCATAAGCCAGGGGATCATTACATTTCAACAAACTGTGGTAAAGGCTCTTGTTCACTGGAAGAAAGAACAAACAGGAAAGAAGACATGCCAATGCAGTGGGAACAATCTCCCAACTTAAAAATTGCCCCAAAGAGACAACCTTCAACTTCTTGGTAAAGACAGTAAAGGCTAATTTGCAACATTTACAAGTGTTTGAAGAAAATCAAAGACTGATTTCTGCTTTTAAGCTACTTTTATACTTTGACCTGTAGAGCATCTTTCCAAAAAAATCTCTTTAGTCACCAAAGGCATTTCTCCCTTTCAGACAGAGGGCCTCAAGCTATACAAGGACCTGAAGAACTTCCTTAGTGCAGTCAAAGGTGGGTATTGCAGCAGAGCAGAAAACCCAGAGGGCGTTTGTGCAGCTTGTAGGAGGTCTGGGGATGGAAACAAAAATGCCCCTGACTCCGGGACCTTTGTAGGCCAAGAAGAGTAACTTTTCCCATCCCAGCCCCATCCAGTTTTCCTCGCCAACAACCCAAAGCTTCTGAGTTTGTCCTTCTGAATTGGACCCACTTATTTGCCTATCGCCCATATGGTTATATCAGACTACTTTTGGGGAAGCTTTATGGAATTCTCTCCTTTCAGTGATGCATGAAAGTTCAAAGAGAGTGTCCGAAACCCTGCAGGAGATCTACAGCAGTGAGTGGGACGGCCATGAGGAACTGAAGGCCATCGTAGGGGTAAGAGTGTTCTGGGCCTTAACTCTTCACAGCTCACTCCTGCCCTCATTTCAACATCGCCTTAGTTTCTCGATCCAGGCAAATAGGAAAGCAAAGCAACCAGTTCACATTGTTCATTTGTATATCCCAGTCACGGGTAAAAGGAAAATGCTGCAACTATAAGGTAAAAACAAGTTTTCCCTAATCTGTGGACTCCTCTATTTTTGACCCTCTTCCCCTTTTTAAAACCTGATGGAAGTTTTACCTGCATAAAACCTGATTGGTTTTTGAGAACTAACTCCTGATGTTATTTACTTCCAAATTTCCCTATCCTTCAAGCACTAGAATCCAAGACTCTGACCATCTGTTCCTGTTCTTAATCCCTGAATGTATGTCCAATCACTTATAGGGCAGTTCCTTGGGGAAGGGCTATTTCTTCATCTGATTCTTCCCAATGCTCAAAAAAGGAAGCTGTTGCAGAAAGACTTTGGGTATTTCCCCGGTATGCAGCTGTTGAGAAATGGGGCCCTCACCACTCCCCTTCACCTCTGCCCTACAGAATAATGATCTCCTCTGGGAAGACTATGAAGAGAAACTGGCTGACCAGGCTTTGAGGACCATGGAAACCTATGTAGCCCAGTTTGGAGAGATAAAGGTACTCACCTGATTTACAGGGTTAAGGATGGGTTATGAGTGGCTCATATAAGTTAAAGACCATATTGGGTTAAACTTATAAGTAGAGTTAGAACCCCTGATTAGGAACAAAGTTGGGTAGGTTAGGAGAAGGATTAATGTTGAGGGTTAGACAAGAGGTTAGGGTGAAGGGTTAGAGGTAGTATGAAGGTTATGTTCAGACTTAGATTTCAGTGAACTATATTTGGGCTGGTTTTAAATTAGATCCAGATCAGAGCATCCCTTTTAGTTGTTTGAAATAGCTGATGGGACTAAAAGAGGTTATTGTAGAGAAGCAGAAGGAGTCAGAATAGTTATCTTCAAATACTTGAAAGTCTGTTAGGTTAAAGAGGAACTGAACCTGTTTGAAACAGTTCCAGAAAGCGGAATTAGAATTCATTCATTTCATAAGATAGTAGGTTCTCTATTTTATGTTCAAACAAAAGTCAAATCACTTTTTTAAAAGTGTGTTTATTGATTTTCAAGAGAGAAGGAAGTTGGGGGGGACAGAGAGAGAGAGAGAGACATTGATTGGTTGCCTTATGGTTTGCACCTTGACTGGGGATTAAACCCGCAACCTGAGTATGTGCCCTGACCAAGAACCAAACCCACAACCTTTTGGTCTACAAAACTACACCCCAACCACCCGAGTCACACCAGCCAGGGCTCAAAACTACTTCTTATCTTGGCTGTTGTAGAGAAGGTTCCTGTATTGCATAGGAAGTTGAACCAGATAATTGCTAAGATCCTTTCAAATTCAGTGATTGGAAGAATGAGACAAGAGCCAGCAACATAGTTTACTTCTCCCTGGTATAATTTGTGGTTTGGATGACATTGATAGACTTTCTCTCAGTACGTATAATATTTTTATTGTGCTTTAGGATTTTCAAAGCACTTTATTCTCAGCATTTGATCTTTAAAATAACACCAAAGGCAGATGAGGCTACTGAGGCTTCAAAAGAGATGGACCTTGCCGTAGGTCACAAGGCTAATACATGGCAGCATTAGGAATAAGACTCAAAATTCCTGCCTTTCAGTTTCATAGCATTCTCAAGACCATTTATTCTGGAGGCTGAGCTAGTTTTAGTGAGTTCATAGGAAATATTAGTATTTAATGGCAAACTTCCAAGTACTCCGTCAAATTGCCCTTTACTTTATCTCTCCCTGAGAATTCCCATTCTTTCCAGATAGTGAGAGAGATCCCTTGGGCACAAAACCCTCGTAGAACATGAAATTTGGTAATAGGACCCAGGAATCTTGCCTCTCTGTTTCATACTCTGTTACCTACCTCCTGGCCACTGAAGAGTGTCAAGGCCCTTTCTCATGACTCTGGGTTAGGAAAGAATCGCCAAGCGCGGTCGGAAACTCGTGGACTATGACAGTGCCCGACACCACCTGGAGGCGGTGCAGAATGCCAAGAAGAAAGATGAGGCCAAGATTGCCAAGGTAAAAACAAAAAACAAAAACAAAAAAACCCTGATAAAACCTTCCTGCCCTCTCTCCCCATAATGATGGCATGTGGCTGGACCACGATAAGTTTAGGGAATGATAAATTCATCATCCAATGTCCGGAAGGAAACCCTGTTTCCTCTGACATTGATGCTCTAAGGACAGCCAGAAACTCAAGGTGGGGAAGGGCATGGGTCTGTGGAAGGAGAGCCACGGTTCCAAGTGAGTTTGTTTCCTGAAAAAAAAAAAATGTGGAGGATTAAAGAAGTAGCTTATATCCTGGGGTTCAGGACTGAGAGGAATTGTCCTGTCTCTTTTATCACATAGGCAGAGGAAGAGTTCAACAAAGCCCAGCATGTGTTTGAAGATCTGAACCAGGAACTACTAGAGGAGCTACCCGTTCTTTATAATAGGTAATGGCTGAGATTCAGGAAAGTACTGGACTCTTGGGCCAGTAGAGGCGCAGGCAACCTGGCAGCCCAAACATGTCACCTCATGAAAAAAAGCACCCTGGTCTAAAAGTGATGTAGCCTCAGCCCAGCTACCAACTGCTGTGTAATATTAGGCAAGCCACCGTATCTCTCTAGACACTGGTTTCTTCATCTTCAATAGAGAGAGAACCATCCTTGCCCTGCCAGCTTTTCCAGGTTTAAAAACAAGATGCTTCTTGGATAGGAGAGATCTTGGCAAGTAAATTGCTTTCATCGTGCATACTAAAAGTATCTGGTTTTATGCCACAAGGGTGTATTGTTTTAAACAAGCTTGGTTCATGACCATCCAGATTTACATAGATAAATTATGGGATAATTATATCCATTAATGAAGATGTCTTTGCTTCACCATAGGTAAAAGTATTTTAGGTATAAATATTTTACATTGGAAGAGGAATCTGAGCAGAAATTCTATTTGTACCCTATTTTCTTTTCACTGTACAAAATATGCTTTAATGCAGTTGTAGCCAGCATATTTCATATTGTCACTTAATAGTCTACATATTATGGAGCCTTTTTAATAACTACATGTATCCTAAAACATTATATGATTCGATTTAAATAGAATTGAAATTTAATTGTTTCTTGAAGTGTTAACTTTCCCAGTTCATTTCCTGTAGAATCCCATTAATGTACATACAGCTTCATAGAAGTCCAACATTGCATAACAAGAAGAATACTTACTATAATAATTATAATTGTATAGCCTTGTATTTTTTTAATCTGCAAAAAATATTTTCCTTTTTTTTTGTATGGCCTTATATTTATATAGCACTTTAAAAAGTGTACAGGGTACTCTTTTTATGTCTGCTTCAATACCTGAAGAGCCTGAATCAGATAAGTTCATGCAGCTAGAGATCTGTTATATGGTACTTTGGTGTCAGCCTGGGCTGATTGTGTCTCCTGTAACCTTCTCACTTCTGAGAGGCAAGTGTGCTCCTGGGCTGGCTCTTATGGTCCAGATCCCAGAACACCCCGAGTCTTAGGACGTGAGGTGCTTTTCTCTGAGGAGCCTTGGTGGTAGCCGGCTTTGGCTAAAGCTTCTGCCTTGTGTTTTCAAACAAAGACTTCCTTTACCATCCCTTACCCATATGTTTGTTATTTTGCCTCCTGATAGTCGTATTGGCTGTTATGTGACCATCTTTCAAAACATTTCCAACTTGAAGGACGTCTTCTACAGGGAAATGAGCAAGGTAAGACACCGCTTGTCAATTTAGACACCTCAGTAGGTTTTTGTAGTAAATATGAAAGTAGTCCTGATTACATAATCTCATTAAATGTCCATATCAGCACCACAGATTTTTACTGTTTTTCTCCTGATGAAATAGTAGCACTTGATTTATGGCGTCAACTGTTTTAAAGCATAAATATACATATCAGAGGGCCCTTTCCATCACCATTAACAACTGAATAATAGCATCCAAACTTGAACTTCAGATGAATAAAGGAGGTTAGACCTATGGAAGGAACTGCTGAAATGGGGAACCAAGTTGTGGGATCTCTATCTTTGGTTGCTGCGGAGCAGAGAGGGCAGTGTTTAAGCACAAGTCAATTTCTCTGTAGTTAGTTGGTCTTGAACAAGGCCACTCCTATTCAGTGACAGACAGCAACAGAACATGACCTGATAGGGTCTTTTCTAGTCCTGAGATTCCAGGACTCTTGGCCATTATTAATATATTCACATCCACATCCACACATATTTCTCTCCACAGTTACTCAGGCTAAATTATGATTTGCCAAGTTAATAGTACAATGAGTTTTCATTCCTGGGATCACCTGACAGAAGCTAGAACCTCAAGTCAAACATCAAACATCAAGGACCCAGCCTTAAAGCTGCCGGTCTGATGGAAGAGGCAGAACTTAAGGAAGTCAAGGACGAATGGATGGTGGGACAGGACCCTGGATACTTAGTGCAAAAGAGATGAGGAGGAATTTAAAGTTACGGGTGGGAGGTTTTATTTTGGTAAGCTGTCTGAAAGAGTGTAGAGAAGGGATATGCCAGTCTCAGGCCCCATCTGACTAAGCATCCATCTCTTCTCTTGCTGGCTCCAGCTGAACCACAATCTCTATGAGGTGATGAGCAAACTGGAGAAGCAACATTCCAACAAAGTCTTCGTGGTGAAGGGACTCTCAAGGTGAGCAACTCCTGAGACTCTTTCCTGTTCCACTTGTCCTGTGGGTGAACATATTCAACACTCTGATCTCCAGTCCCAAATCCTGGCCTTTCCTTTGTGTTTGTGCGTGTGATATTATTTGTTGTTACACCTCTACAGATTCTTTTACCTTTTATGAAATATTTCAGCCATAACTAAAGGTATAAAGAATAATACAACAAATAGCCATGTACCTACCACCAAACTTAAGAAAACAACTATTTTATATAAAAAATAGAAGCTTCTAGTATCCCTTCCCCACTCACTTTCCACTAAAGGTAATCACTATCTTAAATTTAGTATTTATTATCCCCATGCACTTGCATGTCTTTTTACTTTTATTTTACACATTTATACACACAGAAAACATTGTTTTGCATGTTTTTAAACTTTATATAAATAGAATTTATACTGTATGTTTTCTTTTTTAACTTCTTTTGTCCTCTTAGATGTTGTTTATGAGATTTATTTATTCTTGTGGCTTTGTGTTGTTAGCTCTGATCTTTTCTTTCCATACTGTTATGAATGACTAGTTCACAATTTATTTATCTGTCCTCCTGCTAATGGACATTTGGATTGTTTTCCAGTTTTTGCTATTACAAATAATGTTACATTGAACACATTTTACATTTCTCCTTGTGAATATTATCAAGAGTTTCTTTAGGGTGTGTACAATGAGTGGCATTGCTGAGTCATAGAGTCTGTGCATTTGGACTTCTTTGGCCTTATAGGCACTGCCATTGCCAAATTGTTCTTCAAAGTGATTGTGTCAATTTACAACCCACCAACAGTAAATAAAAGCCCCCATTGCTCTATATTTTTGCTACATGTAACATTGTCAGACTTCTTAATTTTCAAGCTAATGGGTATGAAATGGAATTTTTGGCAATTTTAATTCACATCTCCACAATTGCTGGTGAGCTTTAACATCTTGTTACTAGCCAGTTAATATTCCTATTCTGTAACTGTCTTGTTTATCCTTTTTTCACATTTTTCATTTGGATTATTTACCCTCTTAAAAAATGTATTTATATGAAGTTTGGGGGGAGGGGTTGTGTATTCCGGATATTAATTATCTGATGATATTCATTGCAAAAATCCTTTCTCAATCTGTTATACGTTGATTTTTCACTTTTGTGTGTGTGTGTGTGTGTGTGTGTGTGGTGTCTATTACCCTCATGCATTCTTTATGCTGGTAAGTGTAAGTAATTCACTGGTCCCTCAGAATGTGATCACTATCTTATTCTGGAGCTTTTATTCGGGAAGTTTTATTAAGTTCCTTCTATGTGCAAGATTTTATACTGAGAATTAGGGAACCAAAGACAGGAGATTTGTTCTTTCCTTGAAGTGATTTACAAAAACTTGAAAGGACAGAAAATGTGCATAAGGAGACAAGGAACAATATAAACTTGCACATGCAAAGTGCCTAATGAGACTAAAGAGCCTAATGAGACTGGTAGAAATTGCAGAGAGGTAAGTAATTGCCAGTGTACAGATGGCCTGGGAAGGCTTGAAGGAGGTGGTAAAATTAAGCTTGGGACTTGAAGGAAGAATAGGGCTCATATCTATTGCCCGTACTATTCATTTAGCAATTAGTTACAGACTATTAGAAAGAATCACTAAAGAATCACTAAGTAGACTTTCTACTTTGCATCCAAAACTCCCTCCTCTTCTCAATATTGAATGCCATAGTTCTCTCTAATTGTCCATTCATCTGAAACTTACTGTTACTTAACACCAAGATGTCTCAGAACTATGTAGGGAAATCTGGTGTTTACTTGCTATGTCGTGGGCCTTCTAAACCTGTTGACCTCTGGAATTCTAGTGCTAGAAAGAACCTCATATCACTCTTGTTATGTCATGTCAGAAACTCCCTTAGAAGGAACTTTTTTGTAGCTCTTTCTTTTCCTGCCCACAATTCCCATTCTTGTGTCCAGGACACAACACAGAGTTGACCTGTCAAGCAAATATTGTGAGGTGGTTTTTTTATAAGATGGTGGATAGTTCATAGGAGGCACTTACAGAGGCGAGGCATTAAGCTGATATTGGCTATAGAAGCACTCAGCACAATATCCAGCATAATCGATAAATGTTTCAGTTAGTTTTTGTTATTTGTGGTAGTTATGTTGTGTAAAATCAACTCCAACACTGAATTAGCGAACACTGAACCATTGCTCCTAGGGGAAACACAGGGTTAGGTTCCTGTGAGCCCCTGGTCCCAACATTTTCATCAACCATTTAATACAGAAACTTGTGTTCTGTGTGTTTCTGTTTAGATACTTCTTATTTAATATATATTGTTGATTCATTAATACCGAGCTCACAGCCAACAGCACTATGTAATTCATGCCTGAGTAAAACTTATATAACATACATATTTTTTTTCAATAAGGCACATCATAGTCTTGTTGTTCTTAGCACTGTAACACTACACTTGGAGGCCAAACAGCAGAAGCACTAATGAAAAGTACAGCAATGTAAAAACTATGACAAAAGTCCATGTTCAGAGTGTCAGAGCCAAAACAAGAAGGCAGAAGATTTCCTTGTTAGACCTGAGCTGAGAAAGTACCATCAGGCACTGATTTTTCACACCTTTCACATGTCTATGAATGACCATGAAAGCATCACAAGTATTGATTTTGGGTTACAAGTAAATCTTAGAGGGTTGGTGAATTTAAAAATGCAGAATCCATGAATATCAATTGTATAACACCCATGAATATTTTCCCAGAGAAAATATTTTGTTAGTATGTGGCTGTTACTTTCCAGTCTCTTTTTCTTTATATAATTTTACATAATTGAGATTGTGATAGTCTTTTTTTACTTCCCTTTATAACATAAGCATTATTACAAATTATACAAACTTTCTAGTATCATTTTAAATTACTTTATTCTGTTTTATTATTTTATGGCATGCATCATTATTTGGGGATATTTAAAAATGCTTCATAAAACTTCCAGTTTTTAGCTCATCTGAATCTGAATGTCCTTCATTTTTTAGCAGCAGCAGACGCTCTTTAGTCATCTCCTCCCCAGTTCGAACATCTGCAGCCCCCAGCCCTCTTACCTCACCTACCAGCCCCTCAGCACTTTCCTTGACGAGTGAAAAGGACTCCATCTCAGCAAGTGAAGAAGAGCTAGCATCTGACCAAGCCCAGGGAGAAGACAACACTGAGATTAAAGAAGAGCCTGTAAAAGTCAAGGAAGTAGAGAAGAAAGAGGCTGAAGCAAGCTCCTCTGAGGAGGAAGAGCCTCTGCCAGCCTGCAATGGTCCCAGCCAGGCCCAGCCCTCTTCCACCGCTGAGGGTGGCAAGTCCCAGGAGGAAGTTCCCCCTGGCTCCCCAGCTCCATCCCCAGGCAGAGCTCCGGTCCCTTCAGAGCAGCCTTCATCTCCCCCGGAGGTGGTCTTCCGAACCCGAACCTCAAGTGAAGGGTCTGAACAACTGAAGAAGAGAGCCCCCGTCCAGAGGACCTCAGCACCCCCTAATAGGCCTCCTCCGCCCAAAGCCACACCCAGCCCTAGGACCTCCTCAGGGAACGTACCCTCCAGTCCTACAGCTTCTGAGCAGGGTTCACCTACCAGTCCCAGGGCTTCTGTGGGGTCTGGGACTCCAAGTCCTAGTCCTAGGGCCTCTTTGGAGGTGTCTCTTGATCCACAGCCACCAGAGAAGCCAACAAGAACTTCTGAAGACAGAGAAAACGAAAACATTGACCACCCAAACCCAGAACTTTGTACTTCCCCCACCTCAATGATCCCTCAGGTGAGAATGCCTCTGATTAAGTCTCTATTCTTTTATAACCTCCATTCAGATCATCTTTACTGTAGCCAGGTTGTCCTACATTTGATTGGATTTTATGTCATTATATTACAGTCTCAAAGATACTCTTAATCACCGTTTTTTGGTTCTGGGAATTGTTACATCTTCAGAGCAACTAATTTAGTGACCCTGCTCTTAGGATAATCGACTTCTGCAAGGGACTTATCTTCAATATTATTATGAGAAGATTTCTACTAATTTTCTCTTTTTGCTCCAAGTTCTGGGAGTTCCAATATAAAGTATCAACAATTTGGATCTTGAGCTTTACCTTTTTAAAAAGGGGGTGAGGGTGGGGAAAAAACTCACTTCAATTTATCCTACTTGTCACTATGGTAAATAGACCTCAACCAAAATGGAATTAGCAAATTTCCAAAGTATTATTTATTTGAGAAGACAGAAGAAGGAACTCACAGAGGAAGGAAAGCAGAAGAGATGGTCTTTTGAAAGATGAGTATATGGATGAGAAAAGAATTGTGTTAAAATAGAGACACAGACCCTCTGGAGAGCAACTAGTTCCATGAAGGATCTGAAAGTCATATTCTGTTTACATTATATGGAAAGGCTATAATAGATTTGACTTATTCTATGAGATTCCCAAGGACAGAACTAGGCCCTACATGTAAAGATTTTAAGTACATTTTTGATCAATACAAGGAGAATTTTTAGCAGTTAGCGCTGTTAAAAGTTGTATGGAAAAATATTTTTTCAATATAGGAAAGGGGATACACAGGGCTTCCAAAACCCAAAATGGGATGGACCACCTTGAAAAATATTTCTCCTTCCTTAATTTTAAAAGCTAAGATACATGAACATCTGTCAGGTGCATTGTAGAGCGGATTTTGGTCAGACATCTGACTAGATGGTACCAAGATTCATTCATTCAGTTATTCCACAATTACTTATGGAGCCCTTACTATGTACCAAGCACTTTTCTAGGAGGTAGGATATTACAGTGAACAAACACAAAATTCTCTGCCTTCCTGCATCTTACATCCTAATGGGTGAGGGGAGAAGATAAACACAAAACAGAATAAGTAAAATTACAATTAGTGGCGATAAGAGATGGAGAAAAATTAAGTAGGGGAGGACACAGGGAGTGGGGGCTGAATTTGCAATTTTAAACAGAGTGGCAGAGAAGGTGACTTTAGGGCAATGAAGGAGGCTGACGCATAAATCATGTAGGTATCTGGGAGTATGTGATTTCTGATACCCTCAAATCATAGCACCCTATGCCTGCCTATGCCTAACTGAAGTTTGACCTGCCACCTTGGGAGCCTTCTGTTATCTGAGAGGAGTCAACATCAATAGGGTACCAGGGTGGCATCCAGGATGTGAAGGTGCAGAACTTCTTCTACATTGTCCTCTTTGACCCACAGGTTTTTTCAGAGTCTGACATGGCAAGTAAGATGGAAGACAAGGAAGAGAACAATAAGCTTATCTTGGCGGAGTCCCCTGAGGTACTAAAGCCTAAGTCATCATTATGCCCTAAGACTTGATTCACATGAAGTACTGAAGGTCCTAACAGAGCAAGAAATAAAACTTCCCTTTGGCTGGTTTCAGGTCAGAGGTAACCACGCTGATTGAGGGGGATGGAGGGCATGTGGCTAGTGAGTCAGCACTGGGTGGACGTGGGATTCTGAGGAAAGTGTAGCCACGTCTCACATTTCTGCACAGAAAAGAGTAACTCTACAGTATGGAAAGTCCAAAGTTAATTTAAATTTGACTTTGGAATATATGATTTTAATATGGAGACAGCAATAAAGTCACCTTCTGTTTGGCTCTGGTGAATAATAAAACAAATTTTTATTCTGGGAGTAATCTTATTGAAGGGGAGATTATGGGGGAGCGAGATGCTGTCTATTTTGAGGAACAGGCTGGTAATGCTGTCCTCCTTCGGAAAGAGGTACAGGGCACAACCTCCTTTCCCCTGAGCCCACCTCCTCATATTAGAGATTTATAGTGTATTTCACTCCCAAACTCTCCTGTGGGATTGCCTTGGTTATCAGCTAAGGAGACATATTTTTCCTATGGCATAAAGCAACCAGAGCATCTTAGATCCTAGTTTGTCAGTGTCCTTAATCATCTGAAGCCTCTCCTACAAGATCTGTTCACTTCCCTTGCAGATGTATCATAAATCATATTTTTTTCTCAAGCAGAATTATGGACATATCACATATAAAATGGGTAAATAAAAAGTCACTGTGAGAAAATATGTTCTTGCTCAGCATTTGAATTACCTGAAAGAGAACAGTAACTTTCTGGGAGGTGGTATTACCTTTAAGGTAATGCAGGGCCTGGAATCAGAGGAAGTAAGAAGGAAAATTTCTTTAAAGGAAAAATCAGAGAATTTCAAGTAGCTGTCATATTGATAGAATTTGGTTCTACTTTAAAAGGGTGAATTTTATAGTGTATGAATTAAACTTTTATTAAAAAGTAAATTCATTCTAAATTGTAGCGTGCCGAGGTCTGCCCCTGGCTTAGCAGCTCCTTGACGGGGCTTTCCACACTGGTGTTCCTATCTCAGAACCTAGAACTTTTCCCAAAGAAACCATTAGTCCACTTGCTTCTCTCTCCTAACTGCAGTAGGATAAGGTCACCTAAGTGCAGTGCAGAGCTGCAGTGTATTCCTGAGGAGGATTAGTCTAAAAGTAGTGTTCTGAAGACCTATATTTTTGCCCTCCCGATTCCCACATAGATAGACATACAGATGCATGTTACACAGATCACATGGTGTCTGATCATGGAAGCAACTCCGGACCCCAAAGACCTGGTTACTTGTCCCAGCAAGTCATTTCACCCTCTGAATCTTGGTTTCTTGGCCTGTGAAAAAGGATGACAGGAAAGCCTTCCCTGATGCCTCCAGGCTATAATGAAACAACATTGTATGTTTGCCCTTTATATTGTCTGTGACCCTGTAGTGTAAGGCATGGAAGGTGCTTTTAAGCTCAGAAGCTGGGAAGGTTGAGCCACCTCTCACTGGCAGAACTCTTCTTTTTGTAGAGCCCAGATCTCCAGCTTCATGTCTCTGCTGTTTCAGAAGACAGCAACATCACCGCACCTGAGCCTGAAGAAGAGGTAAGGAGGCCAGGTACAGATAGGCCAGGGTAGGTGGTAAGATTGGTCATTGGGAACGAACAGAAGTTTGGCTATAGACTAGAATCTTCACCGTGGGCTCCAGGGGAACCCAGCAGTGAACATATCCTTAGGGCAAAGTCAAGCAGGCGGGAGCCGGGGCAGCCAAAAGTAAACTGGGGCTGTTTTTGGTGCCCATTTCCCAACACTTGGCTTTGACCCTCTTGAACTCTCACCATAGCCCTGTCTGCTAAGTACTTATTTAGTTATATCTGAACTTATTTCAAAAAGGAGTTAAGATAGAGAGAAGGCATACAAAATGGTAAATACATATATTGAACACACACATACTACAGCAAAATAACTGAGGAGCGTGTTAGTGACAGCGCCATAAAATGGAGCTATGAATTAGGCAAGTACAAAAATACATTCTATAAAATAAACTTACTAAGGAGGGGTCACAAAATTGGTTCCAGACTTTCTAAACATCCAAGAAGAAGAGAAAAATCTGATCAGTTCACCCAGTTCACAATGCCATTCCTTCAGAGAACAACTGCTACAATACTAAGACGAAAAAGAAATTTCTCCTGTGAATCCTCATAAAGAGACGGTGAAGGATGTAATGAACAGTATCTGTAACAAGTCTTGACAAAAACCCCAACAGTTTGACTCCCCTCAACAGTGTATGACATGAAATGTAGTTCAGTAGAGGCAAATTGAGTGTTCACCCTTCTTGAGTGGTTGCTGGGGGCGGTGGGCAGGTGAGCATCTAATGCAATCATGTGTTCTTTCCAGGTATCTGCAATTCAAAGTGCACAACTCTGAAGAGGAACTGCCAAGACCTCCCCACACACACACCTCCCAGAGAAACTCCTCAACTAGAGGGTCTATAAGTCAGAGGGACTTAAGTCAACATTCATGTCCAGATTCTCAAGCCGTATGGGTGCTGATGGCCTCTAAAGACCAGCACTCATAGAGGCTGAGGAGCAGAATTAGGGGAGGGAGAGAGGCAGGCTTGAGAGAGGAGATTGTTAGACTCAGGGAATATTTAATTCAGATTTTGGCAATTGTTAGAATAATAAGACTATATTAATTAAAGTGGGGCTAAAATGACTATAACTAGCAAAAGCATCCATAGATACACATACATAACCACATGCACTCAAGGAATAGGAAATAAATCTTTTGATTTACCACTCACTTTCCGAGACTTAAAAGAACATGTTTTCAGACTGTTAAATAAAGTATTCTGTGTATGGATTCTTTGTTTGACACAGGGTGGTTGTCCCAACCCAACACACTGTTCTCCACTTGAACAGTGTTACTGATTCTTCCCCAGGATCAGAAAGCTTTAGTCGCATCCCTGACCTTCATTTCACCCGACCTCCTGGCTGTAACTCTTTGATCATGCCATGGGCCACAGGCTCCTCAGTCTAAGTACTGTACTACATACCCTGACCCCTGCCTATAGTTAATAAGCAAATACCTTTGGAAAGAGGTTACATTTTAATGCTGTACCTAGTGTTTATAATCTGGTACTTGGTGTTAGTAAAGATAAGAGCAGGATGGAAGGAGACATGGAACTACAAGTGAAGGGAAAGGACACAAAGTATAATAATATAATGGAATTGGGAATCAGAAGTCCTGGATTCAAGTTCTATCATTTGCTTCCGTGAAAAACATTAAAAACTAACTTTGTAAGTCCTGCTACCCTGATACATACACATGCAAACGCTCATCCATCCATCTTTGCTTTTTTTTTTAATGTCACTAATGAAGGGTTTTTTAAAGATTTTTTTTTATTTTTTGAGAGGGGGAAGGGAGGGAGAAAAAACAGATGTACGAGAGAAACGTGGATTGGTTGCCGCTTGCGCGTCCCCAGCTGGGGACCTGGCACACAACCCAGGCACGTGCCCTCACTGGGAATTGAACCAGTGACCTCCCTTTTGTTCATTCATTCAGCAAGCATTTATTGAGTACCTGCTCTGAGCCAAGGACTACTGGGTACTAGAGAAACAATAATGAATAGAAAAAGAACTGTATAGAGACAGAATATTGAGCAGGGAGAAGAATGGACAGGATTTGGCAATGTGTTAGAAGAGGACACCTGATGAAGACTCAAAAGTTTCAAGGCATTATTCTAGGTTAGGCTTCAGAGACTAGAATTTGATGTTGCCATTCCCTGAAATGGTGACTATAGGAGGAAATGCATTGTATAGGGGTTCTTTGCAGGCAACAAACTGACACTATTCAGTAAGAAAGTATATGTTGAAGGATATTAGCTCATAGAACTCAAAGAACAACCAGGCTGCAGAAAGGACAAGAGCCAGCCCACAGATGTCTGTAGCAGGAATGTGTGGATTGTCGTCCCCCCCCCCCCGGCCCCCAGCCCCCAGCAGCTGTCATTGGAAGACTTGGCTTCAGCCAACATATGCCATTGTGTCCCATCCAGATCAAGACTCCCTGGAGAAAGATTCTGACTGGCCCAGTTTGGGGGGAAGCACATTAGTGTCAACAGTGACAGAAGACCAGGGGTGGGGGTGGTAGTAAGGCGGATGGATTACAAAGAAGCACAAGGAAGCTTTGGGAGTGAAAAATGTTCTTAATTTTGATTGTGGTGATAAACTTACTGGATGTATATGTGTGTTGAAGCATCAGATTGTATGCTTTGTGTGCAGATTTTGGGGTATCACACAAACATTGGACACTAACAAGTTTGAGAACTTGCAGGACTTTCCAGGAGATGTGTCCATTAGGGAACTGGAAATACATGTTTGTATTTAGAAGTCATTTTCCTAAGATCTAATCCTGCTACTCTTTTATTGTATTTAAAAAACCTTCAGAGGATCTCTTCTGTTGTAATGGAGAGGAGGCTGCTTGCCCTCCCCCCCCGCCCCCAAAAGGCCTACTGCCTGTAATTTAATACCTCTCTTAGAAGGCATCCCAGTCCTTTGCTGCTGGGAGCGATACTCCAGGGGTATTGGAAGGGTGGGGGAGATGCTTGGAACTCAGGGCCCCAGCTGTCCAAGGCCTGACATGAGCTGCTAGGAATGTCCCACCCATTCATCTGCCAACCCAGGTCAAGCCTTTTCTCTGCAGGGCTTTCACTGACCCTCATCTCCTAAGAAATTGATTCTCTTTGGGGAGTGTGCCAGAGAGAATTTCTAGGGACTTAACGGTCTTGTGAGGAAAGACAAACACCCAAGGTAACTGCTACAACGGAGGCACACCTGAGGTAGAAAACTGGACTAAGTTGTGAAATGGACACTTCATTTGTACATTGCTTTACTGGAGGTTTCAGGAAGGCAGGAGAAAGGGCCAGGATGTTGGGTATGACTAGTCATTTTGCTTACCTGGTACAGATGTTCCCAGGTAGGAACCAAACTGTTTACTGGGATTTACAGAATGTTAAATTGTCCAGGGGGGAAAAGGCCAGGACTTAGAAGACTGCCATCTTGGCAGCAACACAAGAAAGGGCTGAAAACAAATAAAATTGAGTGGAGATGAATATCTCTTATCCCCTGTCCTGAGGCCCCTGGAGGTCAGTTGACAAATGGATGGCTGCTCATTTCTGAGGTTTAGCATTTAGTCCTCAGAGAACCCTGGTAGCGCACCACCGCATGAGGCTTCATTCGTCATCTGTTTGCATCTCTCTGCAGAATTTTTGCAAGAACATCACCCAGTCCCTGCCTTCTAGCAATTTGAAGGACAATATTGACAGACTAGGTAATGTATCCAGAATACACTAGAAACATCCAGGATATCTAGGATACACAAAAGAGCAGAGTACACACACTGCTTCCAGTATTGTTTCCTATCTGCTAAGTCGGTGCTGAGTATGTGCATATCGGGTCCTATTTTTCTGCATTTTTACACTTAAAATGAAAGGCATGTGCCCACAGGGATAAAACCATGTACCAACAAAACTTTTAAGATTATAACAGGGAAAAGATGCTTATGAGAAAATATTAACCTTTAAAATGGGAAGGTAACATAGCAAATCAGTAGAGTCAATTCAGCTGATGGCCTCTGAGAGTCTGTGGTTCAATTTTCAATACATAATATATGCCATGAGGGAGAGACCACACCAGGCACAATACAAGAAAAATTTCAACCTTTCCTGGAATTCATGGTCAGCTTATCAGTAAATGCAAGAAATTGTCCACCTTTGGGATTTAACCCTTAGGACTTGAATTTCCATTTCTCTCTTTTTTAATTTATTGATTTTAGAGAGAGAGAAGAAAGGAGAAACAAATTTGTTGTTCCACTTACCCATGCATTCATTCATTGGTTGGTTCTTTTTTTTTCTTTTTATTGTCTTTTTTTTCCATTACCATTTATCCCCCTAAACCCTCTTCCACCTCCACCCACACCCTCCCCACTGGTTGATTCTTTTATGTGCCCTGACCAGGGATCAAACCACAACCTTGGCATATCCACACGATGCTCTAACTTATTTTTTTCTTGAATATTCTTTTATTAGAGTTACTGGCCCAGCTGATCTTTTCATTAACTTATATAAGTCTTGCCCATGTGTTACTTTCTTTGCCTTTTTTGGAGTGGCACTTTTCCCACACCTGATCTTTCTTCTTCTGTTTCTTTTTAAGGATTTTATTTATTTATTTTTTAGAGAGTGGGGAAGGGAAGGAGAGAAACATTGATATGAGAGAGAAACACCAATCTGTCGCCTCTTGTACACACCCTGACTGAGGACCAGACCCACATCCCAGGCATGTGCCCTGACCAGGAATCAAACTGGCAACCTTTCACCTTGCGGGATGACACCCAATCAACTGAGCCACACCAGCCAGGGTTGGGCTTTCTTCTTCACTGATCACCACTATGCCTTTAAAAATATATTTAAATAAAATGAATTTAATCAACTTATTCTGTTTTATACTCAATTTTTACCAACCAAATAACATCTTTAGGAATGAAAGCAACTACCCTTGCTTATTTTATGTCTTTGCTTTTTTTCCCTCACACTATGCCTCTATTCTGAGACTTTCTCTTTCCATCTTTGTCCCCTAAATGAACATGCACAATCTCTGTTTCCCTATTGATCTATATAAATACTGATTCCCAAACCTTGAGGAATCTTTAGAGGAAGAAGAAGTAAGCACAGAAGTCTGTATCACTGGAAAGGAAGGCAGAAAAATCGCAAGTTCTAACCCTAAGTAGGAAGCCAGGATAACAACAGCTAGCAATTACTGAGCACTTTATACTATACGCCAGGTAAGGTTCTAATGCTTCAGATCAGTGATTTTCAAACGGTGTGCTACGGCACAGCAGTGTGCTACAAGAATTTTTAAAACATGCAATACCTGACCATTTAGTCAGGGGCACTGACCTCTTTTTCCCTAGATTGTCAAATTAAAAAATGACAGCAAAAAAATTACATGTATTTTTTTCAGATCGGCAAAAAATATATTTTTAATGTGCCACAGAATTTTAGTAATTTGTGTGCCATGGGATGAGTAAGGTAGAAAATCGCTGCTTTAGATGCATTAACCCATTCCATCCTCACAGTAACTATGAGACAAATACTGTCCCTGTAAGAGAGATGAAACCGAACTTGGCCAAGATCATGCAGCAGAGAAGATTCCAGAGTCTGTGTTTATACTATCCCATTCTTAGTCATTGAGTTCGTCATTAATTCGGTAGCATTTCCTGCCACAAACTGAGTCAAGAGGTGGCTAAATGGCATTGATTACATCGAGGTCCTTACCACGCGCAAGAGCCACGTCTGTGAAACGAAGTGGCTTTACAGGCATTATCACTTTTAGTCCCCCATTTCAGGAACGAGGGAACAGGTTTTAGAGATGTGAAGTTAGCATGCCCCAAATCACACAGCTAACAAGCTGCGGAGCTGGGACTGTTTGAATCCAAAGTCCATGCCTCTCCACCACCACAGATGAATATCGGACAAGGAAGATCCGGACGGGGCGACGTTCTTCTCCCCACCCCGCCTCCCCGCTTCCCGACCCGCGGTGCGCCGCTAAGTTACCTTACGCTCCAAGTTTCTCCGCACAGAACTATTTAGTAAATGATATGCAAACGCAAGTAAGTAATTTTCCACATTTGTTGAAAATTCAAATGACGTCGATTGCGGGAAAAGCGGGCCCCAGGTTCATATCCCGTGCCCGCCGCCCCCCATCCCAGCCTCGGAGCGAGGGAGGAAGCGGCTCCGGATGGAGGGTTAAGAGACAATCGGAGAAGGAAAAGCGGCCTTTCCTCCTGGGGGAGCAGAGGCGGCCCGGCGAGCAGAGGGAACCTGCAGAGGGCGGTTTCTCTCCTCTTTTCCTGTCCCACCCATTCGGCCGGTCCGCCCACCCCCACTCGCCGGCCGCTGCAGCTAAGTCTGCGCGTCTCTCCTCGGCTTCCTGCACACGGTGTCCCTCGGTGGGTCTGCGCGAATCTCTACGGTTCCCGCCCCAGTCGAGTTCAAAAGGACGCGCTGAGTGGCGCTGGCCCTTCCCCGGCAGCCCGTCCGACTGGTAAGGTGAGCACGTGGAGGAGGGGACCTGGGGAGGGCGGAGAGCCAGGCGAGCCCGGTCGCCCACACTCACACTGCAGCCACCCCGGTCCCGGCAGGAACTGAAACCAAGAGCGGCCAGAGCTCGGCCCTGGGCTGGAGCCTCCTGTTGCGGCAGCTGGGCCACCCTCGGAGCGCAGGGAGCCCTCCGCCTGCAGGTAACGCGGCAGGGCTGGGGCCGGGGACCAGGGGGCGGGGCCGCTGGGCGAGACCCGACGTCCGCGGAGGTGGAGGGGGTCCCCGACGGCGCCCGAGGTTCCGGCTCCGCCAAGAGGGGTTCGGCCCTAGTGGCCGGCTAGTGGGGTTCAGGAGACTGTGCGCGGACGACGCAGTGGACAATGAAGGGAAGACTGAGGAAAGCGGACGAGGCTGGGCAGACCGATTGTGTCAGGCCAAAGGGCGACTGAGGACCCTCTCCTCCAGTTTTCTTTGCCTGGGTCATCCCCCACATCCTCCTCCAGGGCAGGTCCCAACTCCCACGTGGCCCCCGAGCGTTGGCTCAGGTCCTGCGCAACACCGCCCCCCCCCCGCCGGTGCCGCCCCACCCCCCACCCCGGACACCTAGGGGATGGCTCCGCCCAAACTCCAGGCTGTGAAAGAATTGGGTACCTGTTACCGCGATTTGGTGAAACTGGGGCCGCTGTTAATTTGCATTCCTTTGCCCAATTTACTCAGGCCTTGAGAAATCTCTTAGGTAAATGTCGTGACCCAGTGAAAGGATCTAAGGGTAGAGCGTTAAAAGGTAATGCACCCCAAACACAGGTGATCTCTCAGATCTGCTCTTGATAACTGCAGCCTGAGGAGACACTCAGCGAAACAAAACAAGGGTTTAGGACTAGCTCCACAGGGGAAAGCGGGAATGGGGAAGAGACTCAGGAAAATCTGGCACCAAAGGCTTTTCTGGGATTTCTAGTTGTCTCCAGCCCCAGGCAGGGACCCACCCACCTCATACCTGTCTTCCCCCACCCCCACCCCGCTTCCTACAGATCTGCTCATTCCTCAAGGTGCCCATCCACTTGCTGCAATGACTAGCTTCCCAACCACGCCTTCTCCAAGAGGTAGGTGAAGGCCTTTTCTAGTTGGAATGGTAGAGACTTGTTAACATCCTCACCCCCAAACCAGTCTTGGAATTCCCTGAGGCCTCAGGCCAGATGAGAAGACCTTCCCATCATTCTGCCAGCCTCACATCCAAAAAGGTACTGGGAGGAAGCAGAGGGCAACTAGATTGTGCATTTAAGTGCAGTTTGAATCTAAGCCTCATGGACCTGTGCCGGTTCCTGGCACTACCACTTAAAGCCTTGTGACCCTGAGTGAGTTATCTAACCTCTAAGCTCCTTTCCTCATGTGTAAAATGAGGGAAATAGAACTTATCTCCTGAGGTTATTTGTGAGGATTAAACGAGACAACCAATAAAAAACACCTAGTACAAGCATCTCAGATCTAGTAAGTACTCAATAACGCTGGTGGTTGTTGTTACTATTATGTGCTTGTGAGAAATCCACCTTTTCCTGGAAAGGAATTCTGCCCGCTTTCTATTCCACTCCTCTGAGGGTATACTCAAGCATCAAAAACCCACTGTTCTTGCCCTGACTGGTGTGGCTCAATGAAGGGAGGACTGAGGGGAGCGGGCATCGTCCTGCAAAGCGAAAAGGTCACCAGTTTGATTCCTGGTGAGGGCGGGTACGGAAGGCAACAGATTAATGTTTTTCACATCGATGTTTCTCTTCCTCTCTCTCACCCTCCCTTCCACTCTCTCTAAAAATAAATAAATAAAATCTTTAAAAAAGAAAAAAAAAAGCCCTAGCTGGTGTGGCTCAGTGGATTCAGTGCTGGCCTGTGAACCAAAGAGTCACCGGTTCGATTCCCAGTCAGGGCACATGCCAGGGTTGCAGGCCAGGTCCCCCGGAGGGGGGTGTGTGAGGGGCAACCACACATTGATGTTTCTCTCCCTCTTTTTCTCCCTCCCCCTCTCTTTAAAAATAAATAAAATCTTTAAAAAAAAAGAATGTTAAAAAAAAATACTGTTCCTGGCAGTGGTCCATCTCTCATCACATTGAGGACAGATTCTCACCTTTCATAACTGGTTTGGTTATTAAATGATATATTCATTCTTTTCATTATGTACTTATTAGGCTAAGGGAGGAACAAAAGCTCAATTGGTCTATACATCTTCGTTTTCACATACACAGTTTCATTTGTCATTAGGACAGACATTCTCCGTTTTACTGATGTGAAAACAGGTGAAGGACAACCCCAGGGAAAAGGTCTAAGACCAGTGTCCTCTATGACTAATGAGGCGTGCAATGCAGACTCTTAGTTGAATGGGGAAAGGTAAGCAAAGGGAGAAATGGGTAGAAGTTTAAATTGGTCGGCAAAGGCTTCATGAGTAGGGAAGGGGTAGAGCCCTTACCTTTGAAAGACAGGTGAAGGGGTGTGTACAGCAAGGAGGTAACCCTCGGTGTGAAACTGCAGAGATTGCATTTACCCTGGAGGGTGTTCTGAAGGAGAGCCCCCCCACCCCGTAGGGAAAAGAGGCACGGCTTCGGCAGCTAGCTGAGGACTCAGCACTTGAGCAGGAGGGGACGATCTGCATTCTTTTTTTTAAAATTTGTAGTAAAATATACATTCTATAAGTGTTACCATTTTAACCATTTTGGGGTGTACAGTTTAGTAATATTAAGTGTTACATTCACAATACCGTGCAACCGTGCCTACCATCCATCTCCAGAACTTTTTCATCTTCCTCTCCATCTAGCTTTTGGTAAACACTGTTATACTTTCTATCTGTGTAAATTTGACTAACTACCTCATATTAAGTGGAATCATACAATATTTGTCTTTTTGTGTCTGACATTTCATTTAGCATAACATCTCCAGGGTTCATCCATGTTGTAGTATATGTCAGATTTTCTTCTCTTTTTTAAGGCTGAATAGGTATATATATATGTTTATGTATATAATTTTGTGTGTCTATATATAAATTTACATATATTATGTATCACTTTGTTTATCCAGTAATCCATTAATAGATACTTGAGTTGTTTCCATCTTTTGGCTATTGTGAATAATGTTATGAACATGAGCATACAAATATCTCTCTAAGTCCCTGCTTTCAATTCTTTTAGGTATATATATACCCAGATTTGCAACTGTTGAATCATGTGATAATTCTATGTTTAATTTTTTGAGGAACTGCCACACTGTTTTCCACAGCAGCTGCACCATTTTACATTTCCACCAGCAGTGCACAGGGTTCCAATTTCTCTACATTCTCATTGTTTTCTTTCTTTCTTTTTTTTTAATATAGTAACTATTTTAATGGGTGTGAAGTGGTATCTCATTGTGGTTTTGATTTACATTTCCTTAATTATTAGTGATGTTGAGCATCTGTATATCTTCTTTGGAGAAATGTTTACTCAAGTCCCTTGCCCATTTTTTGATTGGCTTGTTTTGTCATTGTTGTTGTTGTTGTTGAGTTTTATGCTTAGATTCTTGACCCACCTAGTGACGTGAGTGATGTGGTATTTTAGAACATATCATGCAGCCCCCTACCCACTGGGTCCAAGCAAATATAAGTTTAGAGACGGGAAGGGAGAAATGGCAAACAGGGCGAGGGTTGTTACTTTAAATCATGCGATCCTTGAGGGTCTTTCACATCTCTTCCCCATCTCTCCACCTTCATCCCCTCTCCTCCTTTTCCTATAAAGATCTCCTAAAGGAGATAATCTCTTGGAGTGTTGAAAGTGAGGGCTACATTATGACTTTCATGGGCCCTTGGCACTGTCCCCTTTTTGGGATCGTTCCTCCATTAGAAAAGATATATATTCAAAATTGTATTTTACCACTCTGTTGGTGTAAGGAAAAACATAGTATAATAAAATTATTAACAGTTGCATTTATATTTAATGATTGAGAGAACATTATTGCAATTTCCTCGACCTAAACATTTGATTTTGTTTTGTGATTTTTAAAAGCAATTAAAATCGTTACAGCTAAAATCATTAAAAACCACTCTCATGGGCCCCTGGAAGGATGTAGACCCCAGGCACGGTGCCTGCTGCGCCGAGGGCGTGAGTCACGCTGCTGGAAGTAGGATGAGTGAAGCATACCCCTTTCCACCTGATCACACTAACTACCTCCTAGGTTTTCCTCTGGATTAGACACTCAGTATTTTTCATCTCACTCACTTTTTACCACACCCTTGTGAGCAGGTTTTATTCTCATTGTACAGAGGCAAAAACTGAGGTTCAGGGAAGTTAAATTTTCACACGTTAAGAAATTCTCCCAAGGTCATGTGGCTAGTAATGGCAGAGACAGGATTTTGTGCCAAGTTTGATTTATTTCAGAGTCTGTGTTCTTTCTGTCATGGTATACTGCTCTCAAAGTGTCACGCCACCCCACTGGCTGGGGCACATAAAAGAGAAGGAAGGAGAAAGGAAGCAGAATTCCAGGGCGGGTTCCCATGGGAAAGAAGGTTGGGGGAGCCGCCCTGTGTCGGGCAGGTCTAGAGCAAATAAGTAGGTTGGCAGACTCAAGTGGCAAAGGATCTGATGCCTCAGTGATAAGAGATTTAGGGGAACAAGGGCCACAAAGAAACCAACCTGTATCTGGGTTAAAAAAAGGGGGGAGGTGAGTGAGCAAAATAGATCTTGAAGTTCATTTGCTGTCCATTAGGATTGAGATGGAGCCTTGAATCTTGTGGTCCTCAGGCCCAGGCCTCCCACCTGAAAGAAAAACTGGTGCTAACGCGGTCCTTCCAAGCCTGAGAAGGGAAGGAAGAAAGTAATATTATTATTCCTTTGTTGGACAAAGAGATAGGAGAGAAATAGGGTAGCAACAAGAGAAAACGGGGAGAGCTGAAAGCCATTCCCCACCCCTCTTTATCCCAGGCTTTCCCGACTTTGTTTACTTTGTTGTTGTTTTCATTAAAAAGCTATTCCGTGCCCCTTGGAATAGCTTCCTTGCCTTTCTCTCTTTCTATGTATGTACACACACATATATACACACACATTATATACTCTCCCTATATATATGCATGTTTATAATTTTATTTTAATTTACTTTTTTACAAACATGTAATCATATTACACATACGGCCCCAGTAATTTGCTTTTTTCATCTAACCATAGGTCCTGTTCCAGTAACTGCACATCTACCACATTCTTCTTAACAACTGTATAGTGTTTCCAGAATGAATGGCCTGTAATTTATTTAAGCATTCCTCTGCGGATGGACATTCAGATATGTGTCACTCTTGCAAACAGTACAACAGTGAACACCCTTTCCATCTGCAATAAAATTCAGAGAACCAAACCCAGTGGCCACATAAACAAAAGCTTCACTGGAGGCAGAGCAGGACATTTCCAGAACTTGGGCAGTGGTAGTGTGTGGTGGAAGGAAACTTGGGAGGGGAGACAGACTTGAAACCTGGCTCAGCCAGCTGCTGAGTGCCCGATCCTGCGCTCGCTGAGCTGCCTCAGTTTCTTGGCTTGTACAGAATACTACCAATCCTGCTTACATCGCATTCTTGGGGTGGAGATAAAATAATGTTATATTTTGCAAACTGTAAATCATAAATATACATTACAGCTCTGATACTTGAAGGCTGAAGGACACTAGCTCATCAGCTCTCAGGACACTCTGTGACCTTTAAGCCTGAGAAAAGTGCTCCTGTGTGAGTTCAAAATTTAATTTTTAAAAATAAACATTTTATTTTGGAATAATTTTAAATGTATAGAGAAGTTGCAAAAATAGTACAGAGAGCTCCCATCTATGCTTCAGCCAGTTTCCCCTTCATGTCAGTATCTTACATGACCAGCGTTCATTTGTGAAAAAAGAAGACATTAACATTGGTAAAATACTGTTAACTACAGACTTCATTGAGATTTCCCCAGTTTGAAAATGTGATTCTGAAGTGAATTCTGATAGAACACTTTCAATTTATAAAAATTCCAAAATTAAGGCTGACGAAGGTCCTGAGGGCAGCTAGTTCAACTGCCCACTCTGGGTTGGAATTCTCTCCAGTGCTGGAGGCATTTGTCCAGCTGTGCTCTTGCTT